AGGGTTTTTCGAAACGAGTCTAGTTATCTATATTTATATATATATATATATATATATATATATATATATATATATATTCATGCACGTTTCATTAAATAATATAGACAAGTGCTGTCTATTTATTTTATGCTGCCTAAATACACACAATACATATATATATATATATATATATATATTGTTCGGGACCATTTTCCAATTTATTCAAGATTATCTTTGACCTCTCTCAGATTCTTTCTGTCCTAATGTAACAAATTTGGTCAGAAGTTTCACGTAAGATTTCATTTTCAAGACTTTTTCACTGCTCTTTGGACTGTCATAGGTAAAACTCTTCAATTACGTGCCAAACAGATAATGGGTTTAGTTGGATCTTTTCTAATTGATATCTTTAGCTCTAAATTAAAATGGTGATCCCACTTCCTGTTGTGATCTCCTGATCCTGATCCAATTTTCCTCTCTACTGTTCTCTCTTTTTTAAACTTATTCACCCTTCTCTTGATGGTTGTTGAATGGACTTTGAAGATGGAAGCCAGTGTATGAATGTTGGTAACCATTACTGAAGTAATGAAAATGAAGTCGGTCTGACAGAAAACGATTTTAACCTGTTCTCTTTCTAATAATCTTTCAGTAGGTTTCAGTGATTCTTCCGAAAAATATTGATAAACCATTGATATCTTTGCTCTTGTATATAAACACTTGTAACAAAATAAATCCTTATATTTGCCTTGATAATGTCCCTGAGAAGAGGAAACGCGTCGGCTAAGAACAGTTTTTCCTCTTGTCTTTTTATTCATATATATTAGGATATTACATCGAAAACATGTCAAAATTGCAACACAATTGGAGTCGTGTTTCGATGCGTATCAAATGCTTCGCATCAGATCAAAAATCGCCTTGAACTCATGCCTTGGATTGGTACCACAGATGTCGTTTAATTGATTTAGAAGTATTAGTAACAAAAGCAGCTGCACTTTTATTCAGTTTGATATTGTTATTTCTAACATTCCATTTCTAAGGATCTCTTTACCCTGGCTTTGGAATTTGCCAATGACTATTCTAACATCCCTTGTGAAGAGATAAATATTATAATGAACTGTAGGAGATCAGTTCTCATCCACTATAAAGAACAGTGGGTTAAGAACTTTAACGATTACTTTGACGAGATGCATTTGATACGCATCGAAACACGACTGCAATTGTATAGCGATTTTGACATGTTTTCGATGTAAGATCCTAAAATACATAATATTACTCTACTTTTTACTGAGCTCTCTTTTAAATTAAATGTTACGAACGTTGGAATTGTAGTCTATTCGTTCTCATCTTACACACACACATGCTCCTGAAAAATTACTTTCAGTTGAGCTCTCTGGGGAGGAGGTGTGGGTTGGCAAACATTGACTATTATAGCTATATAGCGAGACTCTTCGCAAAAGCGAATTGAGTCACAGAATTGAATCCACCTTCATCCCTACCGTGCGCCAACGGCTTAATGGTTAGAATCTCCGACTGACACCAATTCAGTTAGGTTTCTATCCTAGTTAAAGGCAACCGGATGTCTAGCCACACTGATGAGCTGTGAAACATATATATATATATATATATATATATATATATATATATATATATATATATATATATATATATAACTCTTCCATCGGTTTCGATGTATAAGTATCTAACAACTTAACCAAATGATTCATTATGGATTCTGTGCGATGATCTTAAGTAGCAGTTAACACCCGCAAGTGACTTGCAAAGGAGTCCGCAGTATGTAGCAAGAGTGGGGATTGTGGAATGATGTCACTGTCAGATTGGCTGACCTCTTAGATCTTGCTCTCGCTTCAAGAAGAAGATTCTGACTAGTAGATTAAAAACGACGAGTCTACTAAAGCATATTGATTTATTGATTTTATATTGTCTTTGTATCTAAGCCATAGGCGTACCACATTCCTGTAACCCTGATCTAACTGGCTGTACATTATGATCTTGGGTATTCTGTCAGCAGACATTCTCAAGTCATGACTGTATTCCTCCAATATTACACCTGTTAAACAGGTCTACATTGGATGTCTTGTATTGAAGGATAACTTCACAGATGGCACGCAGACAGCTCTTATGGAAAACATCCAGCTGGCATATTTATGGGTTTGAGTGCTAAATAATGTATAATAAGATAAATACAATTAGGGAATGTTTAATCCTGAATTTTTGTATGTCTATATTTAATGTTTGTATGTTAGTTTTTATGTAAGTATTATCGTCATTTAAAAGGGATTCTAATTGTAGTCTTTGGTATCCATTATGGCTATTCCGCCTTCTTCATCAGATGGGATTATGATTATATTTTTATTCTTGGATAAATACCAGGAATATAGTTTCATCGCTGCTTGTAAGGGTTGTTGCTATGATTTTCTGTGAGGACGAATCTATGGTTTTTTGGTCAATGTTGTAAAAGTGACATCTTTTTTTTTTAATCCAATGGCACATATTGAACCAAAGATTAAAGCCTCCGATTCAATGATACAAAGTTTGATGTTAGAAATGTTGTAAACAAGATTCCGGCTATCGATCTTTTTCCATCGATTCTCGGTGCATAAGTTGAGAAGCTTTTGTTTTAATCGATTTATTTATAAGTTGTTTACGTTTAATATCGTTTGACGCAAGCTTTTGCCTCTGAAGTTAGAATTGATGTTTTCATCGCGTTGTATTTTGCCAAATGAAGCATGTTGCATTGCAGCTCTGAACAGACACCAGTTTCGTTGACAGAGTGCAGTTTCTCAAACGCTTGTGGCTTAAAAATTACCCTTCGGTCAGGTCATTACCCACGACTAGCATTAAATCGGATTTTATTCTTGGGTTTTAACCTATTGCTATACGCGAGCGAAGTAAAGATTAGACGTAGGTGAGGAAGGAGGTACGCAATCCAGCGGCTGTCTACCATCTCTGTTCTACGAGGCTCGTCACTTCTGTGTGCCTTTTAGCGGGATGATCAGTTTTATAGATAACAATTTTCTTGAAATCTTCGTCTAAAATGTAATTTATCTTCCTTGCGTGACTTTCTATCTGTCTGAGCCTCTTGCTCTGTACCTTGATGTTGATTTCACTTACTGATAAACATTGATCGAATGTAAATGTTTCGTATCCATTTTTGTGACAAGTCCCGCTGTTTTCAATCTAACAAGACCTCAGCTGATTTATAGATGCAGCTTAGTCATTAGTGAACTCTTGGTGGTGTTTGAGTTCTTCTGTACATATAAGGAGCTAGTCGTGGATGTATTTAGGGAAAATATCCGTTGTGATCTTTAGTACTTTATAAGTGCTTTTGTGAATAACTTTTATCCTATATATAGACTCCAGACTCGGTGAATTACTATAATGATTTGCCTAAATCCTCAAAATTCTATTATCTTTTTTGACCCAGCTAATGCTCTGCGCTGGAAGGATCCGGGGAAAAGGAAAGACGTGACTTTTGGGGGCACAATCCGTTGGGTTATGAATACTTGGATGAGTATCACCACGGAATTTAAGAGTAGCGGCGCTATATAGAGTCTATTCAGTTTCTTCTTCGTCACTGAGGCCCGTTGGTATGAGGCTTGCGTTGTATCGAAAACGTAGGGGTTCGAATCTCGGTGGTGGATGCGCACTGCTGATGAGTCCCAAAATAGGACGAAACGGCCCTCCAGTGTTTTCTGCATTCTGTTGAGGGTTCTTTTAAACTCGGTGAATAACTATAATGATTTGCCTAAATCCATATATATATATATATATATATATATATATATATATATATATATATATATTGGGGATTACATATATACATACATACATATATATATATATATATATATATATATATTGGGGATTACATACATACATACATACATATATATATATATATATATATATATATATATATATATATATATATATATTGGGGATTACATACATACATACATAATAAATCAAACAAAAGGAGGTAAGGTGGAGTGAGGGATACCGGCTCGGATTCAGGAATCGTATCCCTCACATTCACTTACGTGCTAATAACCTTGGGATGGGTGAAGCTAATTCCGTTTCTGAACTGGATTAAACAACTTTCATGCATAGTTGTGTACCCAATACAAGGCTGGCGTGCCACTCAAGGTAGACGGTTACTGAATCAGGTTGTCGTAAGTGAGTAATAGAAGGATTTTATTTCAAAATGACGATTACATTTTTATAATATTTAAATAAATTTAACTTACATTTGTTTTTCTCGCTTTTCTGGTAAAATTTATTACGTCCCCAACATCCAAATATTTAAATAAATTTAACTTACATTTGTTTTTATATCTTTTTCTTTAAAACTTATTTACTTTCCGATAAACCTTCTGATTAAAGAACATCAAAATATAATAATAAAAACAACAAAAAATAGAAGAAATTGGTCGAAGTATAAAAACATATCTAACGTAGTTGCTTATTATTCTTTTAAGAAGCCTCACTAACCTAGTTCACCAAACTGAGAAATCATAACTCTTAACTTACAATTTATAAAGGCATGTAATAGCCAGCGGCTTAAATTGTGCAATTGATTTCAAGTTACTACAATTTAGAAGATGAATTGAGAAAATTTGTTAAAGTTTCGATTTTTTCTTTGCATGCATCCAAAATTACTGACGCCTTTCAAAATGACATTTAAACAAAAACGTTAATTAAAACCTTATCCTGTAGAAATTACATTTTCGAATTGATTAATTTTCGAAAAGATTTCTAAATCCTTAAAGACATTATCTTATTTTGTTATTTATTTTCATTATTTTTTTTTGTCTGTCAATTCTCGTAAAATAATTAAATATTGAATCTCAGTCGGACGCGGCGATATTATTTGAAAATGTCTACTCTTTATCCTTAAAAAAAGGACAAAGAGTAAAATCAAAATGACATTTTGATGTCGTTTAAAGTAATTTCCTTTGAAATAATCTTTGATCAATGTCGTCTGCGGAATTAAAAGGCAGCGTTTAAAAATGGCGAATACTTTTGAATGTACAAAATTGATAGGTAAGGAGAGAACAAAAGTAACTTTGCAGAAGTGACTGTGAGAAGAAAATCGGATCGTCTGAAAACCGCCATCTGATTTGAATGATAACTGACTGGAAGGAAACAGCTTTTCAAAAATCAGTTCCTATAAATTTGCAAAAAGTAAAAAGAAAAATTTATAAAACATGTCGCCAAGAAAAAGGGAAAAGTTAAGCGACGCGAATAAGTTTAAGAATAATGTCGAAAATAGCAAACATGGAAGAAATTTAAGTAATGAGTTATTAATTATTCATTTATTTAGTTAAGGAAGAAAAAAATCTGTCCTGGGCATGACGATAAAATATATCCGCGTCCTGGGTAAGACGATAAACTACATCCGACAGCAATGTCTCTGATCAGGAGGTTTTGAGGGGCGTGGATTCACCTCTTAATTGCTGATGTTCCCAGGTTCACTCTGACACGGGGTGGTAGCACCTGTTAGGGTCCCAGATATGAGTAAATAGTTAACCCCCAAACTTGGGTTAAAACACTATGAAAGGGTAAAAATGGGTTTAAATACAGAAATACTTTGTAAAAAATATTACTAACAATAAATGTTTGAAGAAAAAAATTGATTACCAGCAATGTATTTTAAAAATACCAGCAATAGATTTTTGAAAAAAATATTACCAGCTATAAAAATCTTGTCGGCATTAAATAACCCATTGAGGTTGATATGCCACAAAACAAAACAAAACAAAAAAGAAAGAAAAAAAGAAAGAAAGTATGAAAAAGAAAGAAAGAGAGAGAAAGAAAAAGAATGAAGAAAGAAAGAAAGAAAGAAAAAGAAAGAAAGAAGAAAGAGAGATAGAAGAAAGAAAGAAAAAGAAAGAAAAAAGAAAGAAAGAAAGAAAGAAAAAGAAAGAAAAAGAGAGAAAGAAGAAGAATGAAGAAAGAAAGAAAAAGAATGAAGAAAGAAAGAAAAAGAAAGAGAGATAGAAGAAAGAAAAAAGAAAGAAAGAAAGAAAGAAAAAGAAAGAAAGAAGAAAGAAAGAAAAAGAAAGAAAGAAAGAAAGAAAAAGAAAGAAAGAGAGAAAGAAAAAGAATGAAGAAAGAAAGAAAAAGAATGAGGAAAGAAAGAAAGAAAGAAAAAGAAAGAGAGAGAGAAGATAGAAGAAAAGAAAGAAAAAAGAAAAAAGAAGAAAAAAAGAAAAGAAAGAAAAGAAAAAAAAAGAAAAGAAAGAAAGAAAAGAATGAAGAAAGAAAAAAAGAAAGAAAAAAAAGAAAGAAAAAAGAAAGAAAAGAAAGAAAGAAAGAAAGAAAGAAAGAAAGAAAAAGAAAGAAAGAAAAAGAAAGAAAGAAAAAAGAAAGAATAATTAATAGAAAATGCAGTACAGAACCAGGTTTAATGAGTAAACATGCGAGAAGAAAACTAAGGAGGATAGATGTGGAATAATTTTTTTTTAAGCAATTACGTGACTCTCCCCAAGTTTACTAAAGCCAGATTCATAACCGTGACTTTACTGAGCTACATTTTTAACCTCAGGTCAAGTGGTCTTATACAGCAAAATCACCAGACGATTTCATATCGTGGAAAATTTATTTTTTCTTCGTTATTCAAACACGTCAATTGCTCATTGTAATGTTGTATGCTGGTTTTCTGTTACACAAAACAAGAGGCGAAGTGGACATTGCGAGCTCAGTGAAAGGTGCCTCAACACTGGTTGTGTGTTCTCTTGAATAGGCAACTGCTGCTGGTGATATCACTGTTACTACTACTACTACCTCGGCTGTTAATATCTCTTTGTGTATGGTTACATTTTTGCTTTTTGGTTTATTAGATTGTTTTTTTTTTTTTTTTTTTGTTTTTTTTTGGCAGGAAGCACACCTATACTATAATATTTACATAATTTCCCCGTCTGTATTCAAATATTTCAGTCCTGTTTAGAAATACTAGACCGAACTTCTTGATATTCTGCTTTTTATACTTTTATGTTCTTTATCGTTCAAAGTGTGCTTTGCTTGTGTGTTCGCTGGAAGTACGTAATTACTGCTGGTGGTGGTATCGCTATTACTACTACTTTGGATGTTGAAGTATCCTTTTCGTGTGTGTTTCATTCATTGTCTTTTTTTAAAAAAAATTCTCCTTTTTTTATTTATTACAACGTTTCGACCGTTCAGTATCTGTCTATTTTTCTGAGATGATGTATTATGTACACTATTTACATTATTCGGAATATTGTCCTCATCTTTGTCGCCATATTTATTACAACGTTTCGGACCTTCAGTATCTGTCTATATTTCTGAGATGAGGTATTATGTACATTATTTACATTATTCGGATTATTGTCCTCATCTTTGTCGCCATATTTATTACAACGTTTCGGTCCTTCAGTATCTGTCTATATTTCTGAGATGAGGTATTATGTACACTATTTACATTATTCGGATTATTGTCCTCATCTTTGTCGCCATATTTATTACAACGTTTCGGTCCTTCAGTATCTGTCTATATTTCTGAGATGAGGTATTATTATTTACATTATTCGGATTATTTACATTTTTCGCCATATTTATTACAATTGTCCCTCATCTTTGTCGAGATGATTTATTACAACGTTTCGGACTATTTCATCTTATCGCCATATGTATTACAATATTTCAGTATCTGTGAGATGAGATGATTATGTGTACACTATTTACATTATTCGGATTATTGTCCTCATCTTTGTCGCCATATTTATTACAACGTTTCGGACCTTCAGTATCTGTCTATATTTCTGAGATGAGGTATTATGTACACTATTTACATTATTCGGACTATTGTCCTCATCTTTTTCGCCATATTTATTACAACTTTTCGGCCGTTTTACGCTCCGACCTTCTTCAGGTGGTTGGAATATAGAACTTAACCCGTTATTTCGCTCACTGGGGTAGACTGTTCTAGTTCCACGTGCCATGTTTAATGGATATCAGTTATCTCCTTTTAATTTCCCTCTAAAAGTTCTCCACTGCCTTAACCGGGTATTGAACTCACACTCAAGGACACATGGCACAGTAGATAAAACGTTGGTTATATCCAGTGACAGGACCCAAAGAGGGTCCATAATAGCTCATCTCAGAAATATAGACAAATACTGAAAGGCCGAAACGTTGTAATAAATATGGCGACAATGATGAGGATAATACTCTGAATAATGTAAATAGTGTACTTAATACCTCATCTCAGAAATGCCACAGAATTTATAAAGAACACAATTTAGAAATAAAAACAGATAAGATTATAGTTTTCAGATTATTTAAGTTTGACTCAATTATTTGGGAACAAAGAAAAGAGTTCTGAGGTGCTACGTAACATCTGTCCTCCTTTACGGTAGCGAATGTTGGATGGTCTCCTCAAATTAAAGAAGAAACTCGTGGCACCGGAAGTATGGTTCTACAGAAGGATGCTGAGGATACCATGGACCGGGCGTGTGAGCAACGATGAGTTTTTGGAGAGAATGCAAACAAGGAGAAAGCTCATACTTAACATCAGGAAGAGGCAGATGAAATCTTCTGGGACACGTAATGAGAAAAGAGGGCCAGGAAAATCTGATACTCACAGGTCGAATAGAGAAAAAGTGAGACAAGGGAAAGCAACGCATAGCATACCTAGCGGGCTTAATCGAGTGGATGACAGATCGTTGTTTAGGGGAGGTGACAGAGGGACAAATCGTATTGAGAGCTACAAGGGATAGATAGGAGAAAGTGGAGAGCCATGATCGCCTACGTGTTGAAGAGACACGGCACATAAAGAAGAAGTAAGAATCGAACCCATAAGAATTTTCGGTTGTATGATGTTTGGTTTTAAGAGAGAAAAAGAAAGCAAATATGAAACGGCGAGGAAGAAGAAAGACGTTTTAGAAAAAGCTTTTGTGATTATTGGAAACTGAAAACTTATAAACTTTCCTTAAAATCTTCTATACAAATAAGATTTGTAAAAGATCTATCTTCTTTTCTTTTTACTTTTCATGACGAAAAGTATAAAGTGTGACGACAAACTTTCTTAAAACTTTCTCCTTGTTTCTCATTATATCGATCTGATATCGAATCTAGAAACACTTATAAAGAAAACAGTTGTTTTGAAATCAATTTCCTTTCCATATATCGTCAAATATATTGTAAAAAGGATTGATATATTCCTATAGCATACTTTCAGTTTGGGTAACTTAAATTCCAAATATGCTATATACGTACTGAATATTTTAAAAGTATACGAATGTACTGATTGTGAGAGAGGTTGCGTTGTCTTAAGTAGTGACGGTATGTCGACTTTAAAAAAAAATCATTATTCGAAATAGTTTTTATTTCCGGCATCTAAACACCAAATTCATGTGCTAGAGACCATCACGGAATAATCTCGGCCAATATGAACCGTTGTCATTGATTTATAGATTGTCTGCAACTTCTGGTAATACATTCTACTGTTGACCTCTGATATCTGGGAAAATTACATCAATACATATATATATATATATATATATATATATATATATATATATGGGGGGGAGAGCGACGGAGAGGAAGAGAGAGAGAGAGAGAGAATGAATGGCGACAGAGATTCTAATCTCAACTGCATATACAAACCAAAGAAGAATTTTTAAATTTTCGATGTCCAAGTCCGTCTTCTTTCTTTTCTATGGTAATTTTTCGAATGTTTGAAAGATGGACATGCTGATATCTATATATTTATATTTGAAGTAAATTTTAGAATTGATTTCAAGACTTAATTATTAATCATCAAGAATAATAACAACAAATGATGGTGATCATCATCAACATTATCATGATAATTCCCCTCTGTTAATATAATGCTGATACAACAAAAAAATCATTGTAAAATCTAAAAAGTACATTCACATTTTAAAAAATGGTATCGTTATTTTAATTTTCCGACACTAACTTTATTGAACAACATATATACACTTTTGTTCCACTGTCTTCCATCTTGCAGATAATTTTGCAATTGCTTTTTTTTCAGCAAAAAGCTGTGCTGGGTGTCTTTTGCAATCTTCCATAGAATTACACTATTTTCATTAAGAGATTTCCATATCATCTACATATATAAATAAACGGCAAATTCTGTCTGTCCACCTGTGTGTCTGAAACCTCTCTAACTCGAGCCACAGTTGATCTACACAGACATATTATACCTTTTTGGAATCAGGATGATCCCGGGATTAAAAATCCGCCCTTCATCTGGTTCTTGAACATCCAGCATTGGCATTTGTGACCGGATGAAGATTTTAATATTTTTAATTTATATTGAGTTTTAAGTAATTTGGGGGGTGGGTTAATTCAGTTTGAAATAAGTCGAAAACATTGTGAATTGAGGAAATCAATTTTATTTCTTCAAAATGACAAAGAATCAGACTTAAAGTGAGAGATTTAGTGATGTAAAATTTTGAAGTTCTGTGATTTGAAGAACTCAACTCGAAGTTCCACCGAGTTTGTGATTTGAAGAACTCAATTTTCGGCTTGAATTGGAATTTCGGTTCAAATCGGTCTTTCGTTTCAAATCGATCTTTTGGTCGGAATTGGACTTCAAGCCCGAATCAGAGTTAACAGCGACATTTTGAAGTTTCATAGAGTGGATTGAGGATTTCAAAGTTATTTCCACAAAATTATCATTGCTGTTTTCTAAGTTGGACAAGAGGTCGCTTTAGTTTTGGGCCTGAGGCCTAATTAGTCCTCCACAGGAGCTAGCTTAAGAGTCCACATGAAGTACGGTTTTTAGGCTAGTTTATATTAAAAGTTAATTCAAAAACGCTGATTATGATAGGCAAGGAAAAAAGTTCGAAGAAGAACAGTAATTATATTTTGATGGAATATTACCAGCTTTCTGTTAATTCCATGCATATTTGATTCCAGTCTCTAACATTAATTCTTCAGATCGATATTTGATTCTTTGGAAATTGTTGACAGTAGAAAATTCCCTTCCAATCCCACCAAATCCCAATATCCCATTATTTGGATGAAGACAAGCTTTGGAATACTTAAACGTAGTACATTTCACTTTTCAGAAAAAACTTCTCTTGCATCCCAGTTTGTTGCAAATTATCCACGTTTTATCATCTGTTATGGTTTCTCAAAAGAAAATATCTAAATATGGCTCAGTTCATTCTTTCTTCCTAACTTATGTAAAAGCTACGCATAATAATTTTTCAGTACTGTTTTCGGTATGAATTCTATATTCAGCATCATATAATTTTGAATATTTATGATTTCATTTTATTGCTATCAGTCACAGCTGATCTGCCTGAACGCGGAGGATCGTCCAGCGAGAAACATAACTAACCATTTTTATCACTTTCGATTTTTCACAGTACCTTCTTCATTCAAAAAACCTTTTGAATCGCCTACTGGCCTTTTTTGTAAAATACCAAACAATTTACAATATTCAAAAAACTATTATTTAATTTCTTCTATCTTCAATATTATAACCATCTACTTGTATGTGTCATGTCCCTAAAGGACACGGCACACAGAAAAGATGGCGATTGTAACATCCACAACCTCATATTGCTTGTAGCTCTTAGCAACGTTTGTTTCTTTGCTAAGCCTCCACCTGTTATCCATTCACACAAGCATGTCAGCTACTTGGCTCGATACTTTCCTCTGTCTTTCTTACTTTTGATATCACCTGTGAGTGTCAAATTTTTAAATGCACCTATCCCCATTATGTATACAATAAATTTCATCTGTCTCTTTTAATATAAGTGGCTTTATTCAGCCGTCTCTGAGTTTTGTTTCCATTTTCTTTCAGACTTTATCGTTCTGTCCATGGTAATCTCAGCGTTCTTATGTAGGTTTTTCCCTACATATGTGAGGACATTGTCTAGCATTCATTGCCATATAAGAGGATTGATATTGTCTTTTGCTATTCCAATGCGCTTTTCAGTAGGCGTTCCGGTATCGGCAACGCACTTTTAAACTTCTATGAAGACATTTCCTAGATTTTTATACGTTTTATGTTGACATTCCCAACTGTCATAATCAATAAACAAAAATATTTTATAATGGATAAACAAAAATATAAATGTTATAATCGATAAACAAAAATATTAACTTTTACAATCAATAAAGAAAAATATTTTATAATCGATATACAAAAATATAAATGTTATAATCAATAAACAAAAATATGCCAATTTTGACAATATTTTAAAATTCAAACTAATATGTTAGATGTTGCAATACAACAAAAATCGATCGTTTTCATGAAGTGAATTTAAAACTAAACTCTTCTAGTGCCATCTATTGTTATCAACACATTGAACTTTTAGGCCAAATCGATATTGTGGCAAGTATTAAGGGAATCAAGCTCTAGCGAATTACTTTTCGTGAATTCTTCACTTTTCTCCCCCCCCCCACTTAGTCCACCCTACGTATTTTCTGTTTTATTTAAAATTATACCATCAAAAAATGTCAAAATCACAATCGGCTTCTCTGAGAGCCTGTCA